GGTAGGTTCAGTTTTGACCGATCTGGGTGGATTCTACGCAAATTAGGGTAATTTTGAAATAGCGTGTGGGTGGCAATGAGAGTGCCCCAGGTGTGTCCAACTGAAATTTTGGCACACTGTGCGGAGTAACCATAGAGGTAACTCTAAGACAAGAAGGTCCCGAAGTAACGTGCTCAACTTTTTGGCTCAGCTCTGGTACTCTCTTCGGTCCCAAGCTAATCGATTCACCCCTCGAAACATGGGAAAATCAACTAACCCCTCATTTTATCTGTCAAACTTTCATAGAGAATTAAAACAAACATTGTGTAGTAGTAGAAAACTAAAAAAAGATGACGGACCACTCGTCTATAATCGGTCTCGGGGGCAGAGTGGCCAGACCTACCGATTTATCGGTAGTCCTACCGATTTTCGGGGTGCCTACCGATTCACAGACGAAAGGTTCAAAACTACCGATTTTTCACTTTTCCTACCGAGAATCACAGATTTTTAGATTATTAATAGAAAAATTGATTTCGACACGTTTAAAGCAGAAGATCTGAAGGACAGTGTATTGTTCTGGACAGTCTTGTAAGCGGTCACGGTAGTCGACACATTTTCTGTGATAATTGACTGCCTTTGCCTCCGACACTTGCAAAACAAGCTATCATAGTACAGTACCAAACTAAAATGTCATATGACAGGCTCTGTCATTCGACACTGTCGCCGAAGACCGTCACCAATGTATGTATTTTAGCTTTTCTAATAACAAGAGCTGCTGATGTTGTGCTTGTGTGAATTCTGAAAATAGCAACAATGATGTCCTAGTAATAATATTTTTGATCAGAAATGGTTTGATTTACACCAAATTGAGGAATTACAACGAAATCACACATGTCAAATGATAGCTATTTTGATAATTTTCTTTTAGCTCGAATGTTATTCTACCGCTCGTGTTGTGTGAGAGAGACGACGGTAGAGCATGAGTGTTCGAATACAAACAGACTGTCGCGCACGACAACGAAGCGAGTGTAGTAAAAAACGTCAACTGTTTCAACCCCTGGTTCTGGAGCACAGAGTCATCCCCCCCCCCGCTCACAAAAGTTTCAAGTATCGGGAAAGTCTTCTTAAGTCGACCTACCGATAACTACCGATAAAAGTTTTGAGAAGCTACCGAAAATGAAAAAAATAATCTGGCCACTCTGCTCGGGGGCAAAAAACATCAAGTGCATCACGGAGGAGACGGCAACGCACATCCCGGACTCAAACCGATCGAATTCGACGGATAAGAGCCCGAGTCTCTGTGTGTTGTAGCATGGAAGTTGCCGAACAGGCGCGAAGCAACTGTTGATTTCGTTCGAACTGCTGATTCTAGCCCCGGGAAAAGCCTTACCAATGAAACCCGCTACTACAAGCAGGTGGAAAAGGAATTCAGGTCATTTTTTCCACTCGGCCCAAGTTTTACTCGTCTGTCCTGCTGGTCAAGGGTTCGGATAAGAAAGAGCTAATGGTGAAGTAAGACACCCACCGGCTGATATATTTCTGTGCGAGAATATTGCGAATCAAATTCCCGTCCAAATACAGCTGGGAATATTAACCGGAACCTTGTAATCCATCGCCATCACCCGTTCCTCCTACTGTGCAGTTTCGACCTATTCGGTGCGGAACCGTTTTCTGCACTTGAGCTGTGAGCTTTGGTTATTATAGTTGGGCGGTGTCCCGAGCGGTGTCTATTAATTCCGTTTAGCTAAAAATCAATATTTTGGACCCACCCCGTTTGGAACAAAACGTTACACTGAAAATGACCCCTCTCTATTTATTACGCAACGCTCTATAACCACCGACGAACCGACGTGACAGCTCATACAAGCTACTTTCAAATTCGTGCCCAAGACGCCATATTTAAAATACGTTAAACACTACCGACATCTGCTCATCCGATCGCGTCATACCATGAGCAAGGACACGAACCCTCGTATAATTTATATTGCCTTGGTTTGCGGCTCACCACGTTTGACAGATCTGATCGTCTGTTTTAAAGTTCGAATCGCTCGTTTGACAATTCGAATTGTGGACAAACGAAATGCTTCTGTGGCATGTCGGTTCGTCGGTGCTATAACCCCCTCCCCGCCTTTTCATTTAATTGATTTTTGATTTCGTTTGGTGTTTTTTTATTTTTAGGTAATTAATTATATTATTAATATTCAAAACAAAAACAAAAAATCAGCGTACCATCGAGTACCTGCTTTTCAAAAGTTCAAGGAAAGCCAAAATCTCAATTTATAAAATTAAAACAGATCCATTTTGCGACGCAAGACTCGAAGCAAGATTTAGTGATGACAGCCTTCGTTGTTGTACCAAAAACGTCAAAAAAGACCTGTATTTTCAAACTTTACATCAAGAAACGAAAAAAAAAAACAAAATGTTCTCTTTGTTACGTAACGCAAAGCCTTACTACTCCTCCTCCCCTATGTATAATTCGTAACGATATAGGTGACACCCTCTCACCCTATAAGCGTTACGTAATTCATGGACGCTTCATTGCAGCAAATTTTTCTTCTTTTAATACACCTATCCTCTCCGCGTTCAGACTCGTATCCCTCTGAAATTTTTTAACACCCCTCACATCACATCAATTGCCTGATCTATTCCCATGCATCTATTTTTTCTATCCCTGCTCTATTTTCGTCATCACGACACACTCAAAAAAATCCCATCAATTATGTTTTCCCCAAAAATCCTAAGTAATTACTAGACTGAAAAAAATACATCCAAATGAGTGTCGTTCCCCCTGGATTTTCCCAAAAAAATCCGCTCGAATATCAGGAAAATCGATGAATGTTTTACTCATTCTATGAGTATGCTGCGTAAAATTTTCATCAATTACTGTCAATGGTCGAAAGGTACAGTAGCAACACCTACCCCACCCGTGTCCCCTCGAGATCGTCAAGTCGACGATGACAGGAGCACATATCGTGGTAGGGGTAAACAATAGTTGCAATTTCCAAACCTACGACTGGATGCCTTCCTTCAAATAACAATTGAAGTGCGGTAAAAATCGGTAGAACTGTTTCAAACACACAGTTGGTACTTGAACGGGTCGGTTTTCATCTCTTTTTGCCAGTGGTGGCGGGGGGGGGGGACACCCCTCACCATCCCTCTCCAAAGGGGGAGTTTGGTAAAGAGAGATGAAAAAACCGATTTGTACCTTCCTTAAAAGTTGTCCTAGTTCGCTATTCTAATATCTATATACAATCTTCACACTGCCGTACTCTAACGGAACTATCAACTCTATGCTTTCATCTACCCGCATAAACGCGAACCATAAATTGACCTTACCTAAAATGGTTAAAAATTGTTTATAATCCCTGCTAAACTTTAACTGAAATGGTTATGGAACTTTACATGAACGTTTAATGATAAAGTTTCAATCTTATGTATTATGGTTTTTTAGAACTGGACCTTACAAATAATGGGTTGTTAAGAACCATTACCATTCCAAATTCTTGTTTTCTCCATACATTTTCAGAAAGAGAACTATATAAGAACGTTTTTACTTATGATTTGAGAACATTAATGGTAATGGTTATGGTAGTCAGTAAGGTCCATTAATGGTTTTGTATTATCGCTCAACTTTACGTGGAATATATCGTGAATTGGTAATCAGTAAATTACAGGCAACCAATTCGCGATATATTCCACATAAAGTTCATCGATGTTACAAAACCATTCGTGGACCTTACTGACTACCATAACCATTACCATTAAAGTTCTCAAACCATAAGTTAAAAGGTTCTAATATAGTTCTCTTTCCGAAAATGTATGGAGAAAACAAGAGTTTGGAACGGTAATGGTTCTTAACGACCCATTATTTGAAAGGTCCAGTTCCAAAAAACCATAATACATAAGGTTGAAACTTTATCATTAAACGTTCATGTAAAGTTCCATAACCATTTCAGTTAAAGTTTAGCAGGGATTATAAACAATTTTTAACCATTTTAGGTAAGGTCAATTTATGGTTCGCGTTTATGCGGGTACTCCATCTATCGTATAAAAATTACCACTACAGTCTGTTATTTGAAATTAGCATCTTCAACTATGTAAATCGTTGACTTCACGTAGAAGTAATACTAAAAACATATAGTCAAAGCTGATATTCAAGCCGATTTAAGGCCCAAACGCAATGTGGGCGGAAGCGGAAAGGAAACGGAAAGTTTGACAGTTGTCACTAATGACATCAAGATGCCTAACCGAAGTCGATTTGGATCTAACTAGTTTTAAATCCGACAAGTAGGCTTAAACGCTGTCCAGACTGGAGAGTTATAACATGTTATAACGGTTGTCAAATAATTGCAACACAGAAACCACCATCAAGATAGCACTATAACATGTTATAACCATAGAGGTAACTCTAAGACTACTGGGTCCCGAAGAAAATCATTATTATTTTTGGCTCACTCAGTACCAGAACAACGGTCCCAAGCAGTCCCAAGCTATTTCACTCACCCCTGCATGTTCTGCATGAATCCACACACCCCTGATGTTATCTGTCAAACTTTCATAGCGAATCAAAACAAACATAGTGTAGTAATAGAATTTCAACTAGAATAGGGTACGTTAATCGTTTGCTTGGGACCAATAGGCTACTAAAGTGGTGAGCCAATTTAAAATCGTAAGTTTCGTATTGATTGTTGTTATAACTCTGTAGTCTGAACGTACTATTACCATAGAGGTAACTCTAAGACTATTGCTATTACCCAGATCGGGCTTTTCCGCTGCCGTTGCCGTTCCGCTTCCGCCGTCATTGCGCTTGGGCCTTTACTTATCCACTGAATAACCCCAATTCTCGCAATTTTCAGTCGATTTCGACTCAAATCTGAGCTACTCTCATCGGCCGTCCAGTCGAGTTGAACTAATCGAAAAGCCCAGGTCAAACAAAGTACCACATCACCACAACGCACTTTGCTGCGCAGTCACCCTGTAGTTGATCTGTTTGTCAATCTGACGTTTCACCGTCCGTCGTACAAAAATCGAGACGAAAATATACGGTCGTGTGCCTATCCTGGAAGTGCTCTGTTTTTTCGACTCCGATTCTCAGCCATCAAAATGCGACTATCTTTGCTGCGGGCTGCCCGTTTGAACCCTGCCGTGAAGGAACTCCGCCTGCACCTGTGCCAGACCAGCGAGGAATCGAAGGGAGTTCGGTAAGAATCGATTTTGTTCGACCTTTCTTCCCGAGTGTTTGGATGGTTACACAATCACTAACTGCCTACCTACCTCCTTGCCAACGTTGGATTTTTGTCTTGATTCTAGGGATTTTGTCAGCACCCAGTACGCGCAACTCAAACGCGAAAATCCCAAGCTGCCGATTCTGGTTCGCGAATGTAGCGGCGTCCAACCGAGGCTCTGGGTTCGATATGGTAAGTGTGGGAGGGGAGTACGATGTATAGATTAGATTATTGTTTACTCTGTTTCTACTGTGCTTGCAGAGATGGGTAAGGAGAAATCGGTTACCCTGACCAACTCCGGCGCCGCGGATGTCGCCAAACATATCGCCGAGATGGGAAAGTGAGCAGCTAAGGTTAAATAATAAATATCACTAGGTTCGTTTCAATGTACTAAATTGAAGAATAAACTGGATTGGATGTCTTTGAATTGAAATACAAAACACCGTCATAACTTGGAAATGAATGTATTCATTTTATACTTGCTTGGTTTTCTATCTTATAATATTATAAATGTGTGGAGTTACAGAAGATCAACGTTTGTGGCTAGACTAATTCTTAAAACTTTAGATCTTCGTTTAGGGTACAATAGATTTTTTAATATCCCGCAGGGAAAGGTCCTACTTGTCGTAATTCAGATCTGTGGGAGATACCTTCCACGCCCTGCAGTCTATCTTTTATAATGCACATAGAAACATTTACATAAATAATGTTTTGAATTGATTTTTCTCGCTCTTCTAAAACATGGAAGATCCACTCGGAGTTTCTTTCTCCGCGAGGGCCGACTTGGTTTATTTGGGGAGGGAAACTCCAACGTGCATGAGTGTTCCGATCAGCTCTAATTCAACCGCTGTGAGATGGGTACCTTCTTGCGGCGTCGGTTCATCTGCGATCGTTCCCACAATTCGTAGTAGCGTTCCTGTTTGAGCCACTCCTGGTACTTGTACCACCATTCTTCCCACTTGATGTAGTCCTACATTCGAAAGTAAGGAAAAGAATTGGAAATCTGTTTGAAGCTAATGCAAATTCAGAGGCCCATACCTGCAGATCCAGATCCCGCAGATAGCCACGACCCTTATAATACTCGTACCGCACTCGAACGTCATCCCAGGACGACAATCCGCTGGGGCCGGTGGTCATCAGTTCCTCGGGAAAGTGACCAGCCGGCGCAGGGGAATAAGTGTACCGTACCGGCGGTGGGGCTTCCATTTCTTCCTCGATCATCACTTTCAAATCGCCACCGGAACTGTTCTTGGTAATGCGCATGTTTTCCATATTGCTTCGATCGACACTCCATTGGGCCATCTTTCCGAAACGTTCCGATAGCGTAAGTCGTGTGGTGGCCGTAAATCGTGGCAGTGAACTTTCACTACTAGAAGACTCTTCAGAACCGGACGACGGCGACCGAGGACGACGCTGTTTTGCTTCACCTTCGATTTTGACGCGTGCGCGGAGCTTCAAGAAAAAAAACAAATCATCAACTGGGTTCTGTTAAGTAACCAACCAATATACTGTACCTTTTCGGAGGTCTTGTCCTTGTGCTTCTTGCTGGGAGGTGGAGCAACCACCTCGGGGGGCGGTGGCTTCGGCTGACGTACTTTCACCGGGCGGGGATCCTCCGGGATGCCTTTGTGCTTCATAACTCGTGGTTTCGGCGACGGAGCCTTTTCCGATTCGGGAGTTTGTGGATGTCGGAGTCGCTCGACCGGCGGCGGCAGAGGAATGGGACGCGATGGACGGTCACGTGGATCCTGCTTGAACAAAATCTCACTATTAGCGTACACACTCTTGAAACCATTGCGGTGATACAGAACATGTGTTGTAGAGGTTACCTTATCGACACGATGCACCTTGGGCATCGGTTCCTTACGGCGCGGATCCGTCGGCGGCGGACTCATCGGACGCATAGCGGCACCGTCGCGACGGCTTTTCGAAATATGTACCGCAGGTGGCGGCGGCGAGATGCCACGGAGACGCGGACGCGGACCCGGACCGGTTAACGAACGAGATCTAACGAACACACGCACGGTTATCAGCAGAATCACCATTGTTTTGGTTTCCCCGATGGATAAGGAAGGAGGAACAAGAAGATTTCCAACGTTAGTCAACTGTTGCTGTTTGGCTAATGAACGCTTGTGATTCGATGTGGACAGCTAGCTTTGGATCCACACACGAATCAACTCGGTCGACGCGATACTTACCTAGACCGATGGTGATGTCTACCATCCATCGAGCATCCAGAGCAGGATTCATCCGAACAGCTGGTAATGGAAGGAGACCGGGTCATCTGTAAAAGATTAGGTTTTGCGTTTAGTAAGTTTAGGCATTTGAAGGAATCACGAGCTGTATGTAAGTAAGTCTGTTGTATGGATATTGAGAAGCTTTTAAAAGGATGAACATTGGATTTTGAGGTTTTCCAATTGATAAACATCGATTAAACATCCAGAAGATGATTCCGAGTTCACTTTAAGATATGAGACAATAGATGTCTTTACAATCCTGAAGATAAAGCCTTGTCAACAACATACGAGATTCTGTTGGATCCCAGCAACCATTGGACACGCAATCCAATCAGAGTAACCTTTGAATTAAATGTTTGTTGCCTGACGATTCAATCCGAATTAGACTTCCAATAAAGATAGACTTGTTACAACCACTCAAGATCATTTTATTCCGGAAGGCGCTCCTAAAGAAGCTAGCGGAACCAGCTCAGACCGTTAGTAACCCGGAGCAAAAACACGAATATCAGTGAGTTTTCGTTCGACCCGGAAAATGGAATCACCTTCGAGAAATGGTACAGCCGGTACGCAGATCTCTTTGAATCGGATGCCAAGAATCTGGAAGATGCGGCCAAAGTACGACTGCTCCTGAGGAAGTTGGATACACCGTCACACACCCGGTACACCAATTACATTCTGCCGAAGCTTCCAAAAGACGTCGAATTCGCTGACACAGTCGAAACCCTCAAGAAGATATTCGGATTACAAACCTCGATCTTCAACAACGATACCAGTGCCTGCAAATGCTTGGTGTTCGTTTACGGTCTCAAAAGCCATTGCTATGCGGACATACGAACATTAAAGATTTATTTATCAGCATCAACAGACTCGATATGGTCCCAATGATGGTTTAACTTAAACTTACAATTAAAGTCATAAGTTAAAACTACAAAACATTAAAACATGATCATTGACTGTTTCCATTTCTGGAGAAGAATGAAGAGAAACGCCTCCGAAGTGTTAGTCGTGGCAGGTGAAAATCGAATACTGATGAAACTCGGTTAAATACTCGCTGCAGTCCGCCTATTGCACCGTTGATTGCATAGTTTGTCCTACGTAGTGGCATTCTCAGCATAACATTGTTACGAAGCATTCGGGGTTGGACCGATGCTGCCGAGCTACAGGACAAGGAGAATTTTTACAGTCAACTGAATGCAGTCGTGGATAAGGTTCCGAAGGGTGACATCAAGATCTACACTGGCGACTTCAATGCGAAGATCGGCTCCGACAACACGGACTATGAGCGTGTCATGGGACGCCATGGTCTCGACGAAATGAGCGAAAACGGTGAGCTGTTTGCAGAATTTTGTGGCAATAACGACATGGTGATCAGGGGCTCGCTCTTCCCCCATCGGCCAGTGCACAAAGTCACGTGGGTTTCCCGTGATGGACATACCGAAAATCAGATCGACCACATCTGCATCAGCCGGAATAAACGCAGCGCCGACATCGCGTCTGACCATCACCTTCTAATCGGCGAAATCCGCCTACGCATGGCGCGGATTCAGCGACGGGAGGAGAGACTCGGGCGGCGGTTCAACACACGCCGACTTGAAGATCCAGCGGTAAAAAGGTCTTTTGTTCATGAACTTGAGACTCGAGCTGCGGACGTTCCAGAAGGTGGCAGCGTAGAAGAACAATGGACGGCCATCAAGAATGCCTTTATAGAAACAAGCGAGAACAACTTGGGTGAGCTGCGCACCCAGAGGAAAGAGTGGATCACAGATGAAACCTGGCGGAAGATTGAGGAGCGTAGAGAAGCAAAAGCCGCGATAGAGCGGGCGAGAATCAGAGGAGCCAAGAACGAAGCCCGTCAACGGTACTCGGCTCTAGAGAAGGAAGTCAAGCGCTCTTGTAGACGGGACAAGCGAGCGTGGGTGAACTCCCTGGCCGACGAAGGGGAGAAAGCCGCAAACACTGGCCATATACGCCTCCTCTACGATATCTCACGACGCCTGAGTGGAGCAAGGATGAACCAGAAGATGCCAGTGACTGGACAATTGCTTACCGACCCCACTGACCAGCTGAAACGCTGGTTTGAGCACTTCGAACAACGTCTTCAAGTTTCGACGGCCAACCAGCCATCAACATTTCGGCATGACCCGCCTAGGGTGCGGCGCATCACTCGCGTCAATTCCGAGGCCCCATCACTGCAGGAGATTGAAGCAGCTATCCGAAGCATAAAATCCAACAAGGCTCCAGGGGTCGATCGCATATCAGCAGACATGCTCAAAGCTGACCCCATGCTGTCCGCACAAATGTTGCATCAACTATTCTGTAATATCTGGGACACCGCGACTTTTCCGGCCGACTGTATGCAAGGCATCTTAGTGAAGGTCCCAAAGAAGGGGGATCTGACTGTGTGCGACAATTGGCGAGGTATCATGTTACTGTGTATTGTTCTCAAAGTTCTGTGCAAAGTTATCCTGAATCGGATACAGGAGAAGATCGACGCGACTCTTCGACGGCAGCAGGCAGGATTCCGTGCCGGAAGATCTTGTGTGGACCATATTGTCACGCTCCGCATCATCCTGGAGCAGGTCAATGAATTCCAAGAGTCCCTTTATTTGGTATTCATTGACTACGAAAAAGCTTTCGACCGTCTCAATCACGAGAATCTGTGGGGCGCCCTGAGACGCAAGGGAGTCCCGGATAAAATCGTCAACCTCATCGAAGCGCAGTATGAGGCTTTCACGTGCAGAGTTCTGCATAACGGAGCCTTGTCCGACCCTATCCGGGTAGTCGCTAGTGACAAGGATGTATACTATCACCGCTACTGTTTCTCATCGTAATCGACGAGATCATGGTAGGTGCAATTGAACCGTGGGCTGCTTTGGCAGCCTATCACCATGGAGCATGTCAACGACTTCGATTTGGCTGATGATGTTGCTCTACTAGCACAACGGCGCTCTGCTATGCAGAGTAAGCTCAATGACCTAGCCGAACGCTCCTCTGCGGCGGGTCTCACCATCAACGTCAACAAGACCAAATCGTTGGATATCAACACGGGCAACCCTTCCAACTTTACGGTAGCGGGGCAAGCAGTGAAGAAGGTCGAAAGTTTCCAATATCTTGGCAGCCAAATAGCGTCGGACGGCGGGACCAAGAGCGACATAGGTGCACGAATCAAGAAGGCTAGGGCTGCCTTTGCGAGTTTACGAAACGTATGGAGATCCAACCAGATAAGCCAACGCACCAATATCCGAATTTTCAACTCGAACGTGATATCTGTGTTGTTATACGCCAGCGAGACGTGGTGTGTATCAGCGGAGAACACTCAAAAGCTGCAGGTCTTCATCAACCGATGCCTCCGGTATATAATTCGTGCCTGGTGGCCTCACAACTGGATCTCGAATGCCGAGCTCCATCGTCGATGTCATCAGAAGCCGATAGCAACAGAAATTCGAGAGCGAAAGTGGAGGTGGGTCGGCCACACACTTCGACGGGGCGGAAACGAAATCTGCAAGCAAGCGCTGGATTGAAATCCGGCAGGACATCGCAGCAGAGGCAGACCCAGGGGCTCATGGCGGCGGAGCCTCAATAAGGAAATTAAGCAAGTCGATACGAATCTGACCTGGGCCCAGGTCAAGGCAAAAGCGAGCAGCCGCCCAGGATGGAAGTCTTTCACGTTGGCCCTTTGCACCGCTGGTGGTGCACAGGGCCCTTAAGTAAGTAATTCGGGGTTGGCCGTTAATGTTTACTTGCTCCAAGATTGCCATGTAACGTGTCCGCGACAAGCAGGGCTTTTGAAGTATCTCTTCTGGTGCGAAGAGGCTCCAAGTCGATCAGCTGGCAGCGACTTTCATAGCTGGGCAAATGAAACGGGTCTCTCCAAGGTAACAGTCTCAACGCGTATCGCAGAAAGCGGCGTTGAACAGACTCGACTCTCTCAGTACCATTGTTGTAGTTCGGACTCCAAACCAGAGAACAATATTCTAGAATGGAACGTCGGAGAAATTCTTAGCTGTTCTGAAGATAAAGCCCAATGTCCTTGACGACTTGTCGACGACGAACGAGATGTGTTGCTTATATGTAAGTTGAGAGTCCAGGATGACACCTAGATCTTTTACATGGCTCACACGTTCAATAATGGTGTCCCGGAGAGCATAGTGAAAAATAACTGGTTCTTCCTTTCGGGTAAAAGTGATGACTGAACACTTCGCAGGATTTACTGTCATTCGGTTCAAATGGCACCAGCTGGCAAACGCTTCAAACTGACGTTGGAGGAATTGACAATCATCGATCGAGCAGATCCGTAAGTAGATTTTGAGATCGTCTGCATACGATAGTCGTGGACCTTCGATAACTAAATTCACGTCATTGAAGATGACTTCCTTGAGGTATTCCTGACGTAGCTGCGAAAATGTCGGACTGGCAGTCACCATGGGCTACCACCAAATGACGATCGGCGAGATATGAGCGAGACCATTTCAAGAGATTTCCGCTAATCCCAAGTCTATCCAATTTGGCGATCGCGATGGCGTGATTTATCTTATCGAAGGCAGCAGACAAGTCAGTGTAGATGACGTCTGTTTGTGACCTTTCAACCATACTTTGCGTGATGTACGATGTCAGACACAGTAGATTCGTGGTAGTAGATCGACCAGAGGTGAAGCCATGTTGATCTTCACTTAGATACTGCTTGCAATGGGAGAGCAGAGGCTCTGATGATTAACTCGAATAACTTCGAAATTGCGCACAACGATGTAATTCCACGATAATAAGTCACTTTCCGTTTACTACCCTTTTTATACACAGGTTGAATCAGAGCGATGGAAAAAATGCCAAACGATATGGACAATCGGAACAGATGTTGTAGCGGTGACAGTAAGTTAGCGATATGCTTCTTCAGAAGAAAGACTGAAGGGACACCATCCGGTCCAGGGTTGATAGAAGGCTTTAAAGGGTGTCCACGATGAAATTGCCACACTATGAAATTGCTCTAACTTTTTAACCGTTGGGTAGAATTTAATGAAAATTTGGGTGGATTTAGTTCATAGTGCATTAT